CAGATTAAAAAAAGAGAGGAAATGGATGAAGTGCCTATTTCTCTCCCCAGTTTCAGAAAAGAAAATTCAACACTATAGAGAAAAGTATGACAGAACAAAAAGGTATATTCTGTACTCCAATACCTGCTTTGTATCAGTTTGTTCTTTAGTATTAAGCAAGTCAACAACTATTTTACTTCTGAAAAATACTAATTCTACATTCTACCAACACAGAAAGATAGGAAAAGGAGAAAATACATAAATAGCACTAATTTATGAGTATATGCAAGTGTAATGTAATGAACAGTACTATGGCAAAACTAAAAGCATTTTATTAAAGACTCTAGATACTGCTTATAAAAAGCCCATTATTCTTCCAGCAAATTAATACTCTTACTATCAGCAAATGAACTGTTTTAGTTAAATTAATATTCATGTTAACTGCATGCAAAATCAACTAATTGACTAGTCCTAAGTTACAATATTAGAAGCATATGTAAACAGAGTCTGTGATCAATTTTAAGACTAGCCAAGTAAATCAGATGGGATTTGTTGTATGAACATGACAGGGTCTTCAAATCAACAGATTGCGTACAGTCAGAAAATAATTCCAACAAAAAAATAAGTAATGCAGGTACATTGTTAACACAAACAAAAACAGCTCTTTAGTAGGGCTGATGAGTTTAAATTTAAAGACAAAAAAGTTTGCAATGAACAGAATCTCTTCTTCCCTTTACCTCCCCATTCTCCGTGTTCAAAATTACAATTTCAGCATAGCTTAGAATTCAGTAACCACCTTTTATAATTTTTTTCACAAGAAATTTCCTCTCCCTCACTTAATAAATCTTCACAGAAATGTTAAGGCTGCTTTTGCCTCTTCATTTACGCAACATCATCAAACTTACATTAAAAAAAAATCCCTAATGGTGATAACAAGAAAAGCTAAAGACCATAACATAGTTTCTTTGGGCTCTGAAATAACAGTAGTATTTGTTTCTTAATAATCTCATTATTATCATTTTTTTTTCCTAAGACATTTATCATAACAGTACTGGGGCATCTTACAAAAGCTATTTTCCTGTTTCTTAAATTAAATCATATTTGGGACCTAAATTAATAATAGGTGGTTGAAACTATGCCAGGGAAAAAGGAAAGCCAGAAGCTTTTCTCTTAACAGCTCCCAGCAGAAGTGGAGGAAGGGGCAGCGCATGCAGCCTATGAGCATAATGTGGTACACGCTGCTCATTCCTTATTCTGAAAACGCAAATGGAACAACAAAACTAAGAACATTGAAGTTGCAAGTCAAACACTCCAAAGGCACTGCCAGAATTCAGATTGCTGCTAGAAGCATAGCTCCATCACCCAGTGTGTATCCATCATGATCTGGGAATACAGAAGCAAAGAGAAGGCAAATACTAAGAGTGGATGCTGAGGAAGACACAGAGGTAGGTTACATATAGCGAGCCTTCTCTGGAGACACTGAGCATAGCTCCACATTCTGCTTCAAGGTTTGGAGGGTGCTTGAATACACTGAGCAGACACATCCCTGCTTTCATCAGGTGTCTCACAATCATCTGACTGATCACAGTCCACCTGCCTTTATCCTGGATCTTCCTTAACCTTGTCTGCTTAACTCGTGAAAGGAGTAAAGCCTGTGACTGACATCAGCCATGCCCAGCCCAACCTCCTTTTCCAAGTCTCTCCTTCTGGCCAGGTTCTAGTTCTCACTTCCCCAGTATAGCTTCCATATGTTTTCCCCTCTACTTCATGTTTAATCTTCCCTTTCAGAAGATTAAATCTACCCCCCATATTCTCATACTTACAGCTAAGATGCTTTCATTGTGGAGAGTACCAAAAGAATGGGAGCACCTGTTACTGGATTTTCCTGTTCTGACCAATTGGGTAAATTTTAATAAGAACAGCCAAGGATGTCATCACAGCATGCACACCTTAAACCACTAAGCATCACATCTCCAACAAACAGCAGCACTAGAATTTTTTTGGAGAAAAGGCTACAAGAGTTTTATATAAGCAAAATAAAGATTTGATCTTCTTTGGGTTTGGAACTGTTTGAAACACTTCAGATCATGTTTCTTTTGAAAGAAGTTCAAACAGGCTTCAAACAGGAAGGCCCTATAAAAAGCTAAGCCAACTAAGGCTGGCTTTCATAAGCCAACCAAGCTCCATCAAAATATTTACCTCTGGCCAAATTATAAGAGAATGACAGATGTAACTGAGTCAAGGAAAAGGCCAGACAACTCCTTTAAATCCCTAATTTTCTTTAATTCTCTGATACCAAATATTGGGCAACCCTGACAACAAGCTGGCCTATTTATGAGTCGCAGTGTGCTCATCAGGGTTGTCTTCCATTAACTGCACACCCTAGTAAGAACTACTCAAATGCAATGGAAAGATAGAACTGATTTTCAAGTTTGCATGAAATTTGAGTTTTTCTATATCCAGACAGCACTGATCAATCCCAAAGCAAATGCAAGCTTAGGCTGCAGACAGTTTTATCAATATTATTAAGTTATTACAGTGAGATCACCTTACCAACCCCCTTACTCCCCAGTGCTTTTGTCATAGTCCATCAGCAATTAATTCAAATAGATGGGTCCACATAGCTTCTTAAAAGGAAAAAAAAAAAAAAAACCAAAAACCACCAAACACAACAAAATGAAGGAAATCTGTCGTTAAAGCAGGGAATTCAAGTACACGAAGCGTATCTTCACTGCAAGATTCTCAATACAAAGAAAATCAAACAACAAAACTCACGTTGCTGAGGGAAAAAAAACAACCCCCATTCCCTGTGCTATTCAATTTAAACCTTTGCCAAGCTGAAACTACACTTCACCAGATAGCTGCTGTTATATCAGAAGCACCAATTTATTATTGTAGGATAATTTTAAACACGGGTCTAGATAAAGTAATTTTACAGAGAATAAATTAGCTTTGGGAAAGGGGCGGGGGGAGGGGAGGAAGTAGGTAAAATCAATTTTACCATTCTTGTGGCATTATATTCCTGCTATCTTATTTGTAAGTGAACTCTACATTTCAGAAGAACTTGAAGAACTTCAAGTTGCTGTACTTGAAAATAACCAGAATCTGTATTCAACTTTGGCAAGTCATTTTTACCATTTCTTATCTCTGCAACAAGCTCTAAGATAAAAAATTAACTGATCGGAGGTCCACTGAGGATCTTGAATCACCCATGTATGATAGGCAAGTATTGCAGTAGTTAAAATTATATTGTTTAAAATTATAACCTTGTTTTATATTTCTAGGTTTGCAGTTTTATGAAGTGTAAAATTGCATGCATTAACCTTCTGCCATGTCTACGAGACTTCTGAAAAAGTACTCATGCTTATGCAATCTATTTCTAGTAAAATGGGGAAAAAGGGGGGGGGGGACGACAAAAAAAAACATGCAAAAAACCAAGCAAGCATGCCTACTTTCCACTAGCCAAATAAACCTCAGATGAATTACTGAAAGCTTTATGTGCATATATTAAAAAATATTAATCTGGAACATACATCCCACCCACATTCATGAGCTGACCGAATGCACAAGATGTAATATACGACAAAACACTGGCTTTAGTGAAATCAGTGTAAAAGAGCTGTAGCCACATTTAATGGCTCTTAAATACATCAGATTTAGTATTTTCCAGGAACTGTTCCATGGCTGGCTAAGCTTGCTGATGTGTATATTATTTAGTACAAACAGACCAAATTCTTTCCATCAATGTAAGTGCCACTGTGCTATAAGAGATCTTCTGGGTCATCAAGGGCAAGACAAAATATCACTGAATTCCTTTCATAAGCCAACCAAGTTCCATCATAAAAGCTGTTTCTGTGTTAAGTCTTCATGTGTTGACTGTGAAATATGATTGCCCAAATTTTCAAGAACCCTCCTCTAACTTCATGGTTTGTGGACCATTTATCTCCATATATATTTCTGTTTTAAGCCAGGCCTATACCTTGAACAGTCCCTGTTTGTCTCAGTGTTGTCTCTCCCCCTATTCACCTTGCCACAATCTCAACTTACTTCTATATGGCCAGTCACTACTCATAAGCACACATACAAACACACTTAAGTGTCTTCTCATAAAATAGCTTCGCCAGGCTTTCACCATCTTATGTACCCTTCTCCACAACTGTTCTCACTAACTTCATTTTTTACTTGAACAAGGAATTACTCAGGACTGAAAATGTTATTAACACTAGGTTTCATCAATGCTTTTTAAAATGGCATTAGTATCTTCCTTACTTGAAACACAATTACTGATGAACCACATACTATTTGCAGCACTGGCTCTTCCACATCGCACTGTAGTCAACCATTAGCCTTATGAGGGATTAAGCAAAGAAGCATCAACATCAAAGATGTAGAAGAAAAGTGAACAGGAGGATTTTCCAAAGGTCTATCACACCACACTGAGGGAAAATTGCAGTTCCTGCCACACTGACTTCATGTGATATTCCAGGATTGGGACTAAGCGTATGCAGCTTAATAAAAATGGAAGTCACAGCCTGCAAGAAACTATACTTGCCTAACTTTATATAAAAAAAAAAAACACCAAACAAAAACTACACCAAAAAAAGTCTGAACTGGCTAAATTCCTTAGTATATGTATACAGTTTATAAGTTTTCATGTAAGTTATCTTTCTGTGGACATGGAGAACACTAGAATACCATGCAAGTTTTAGAACTCAATCACAACAACTTAACAGGATTAATTAATAAATAAATCTATAACCACATTTTAATGCACAAATTACTTATTGTCAGTTTTAGTTGAAAAATATCTATTTCATAGCAAAACAACATCACAGGAACAGCTGGATGGCAGTTTTAAGCTCAAATGAACCAGCATCACAGGCTGACAAGTCATCTCTCTGATTGCTTTTGAATGGCAGCACATGCAGATTTATTCTCTGCCGTAAATTAGAACAATTATTTCTCTGCAGTTCACTTTTTATTTCAGACAGTGAGCCCCCGCACATATTTTTAAAGGATATCTTCCCTTTCCTTGATGATAAGTTCATTCTGTTCCTCTAGCTGTCTGATCTTCTTCTCGAATGACTCCTGTTCAGCTTTCAGCCGTTCTTCTGTCACCTCCTTTTCTTCACTTACCCTGAAAAGAATATGAGAAAAATAAAATATATGCCCATAACCACAGTGCCTGAGTTACAACTCCTCTGCTTCCCAGGTAAATGGATATCACCCTCTCCACCTTTAAACAGGTGAGCTCCTCATAATGTTTATTTTATTGTATGACATTGGAAGATGCATATGACTTTATACAATGCATTATTTTCCCAAAGACACTGGTCTCACTAGAGTACATGCACATTAATGGGCTGCATGGAACAGCAAAGTAAGGACCTAAACCCACAATAAGATTTGTGCAATTTGGTTCGCTGCAGCATAATGAATAAACACTGGGATCTTTGCAAGCCTAGGGCACGTAGGTAGGCAAGCCAAATGGGAGAGTTCAGCTACCAAGACAGGAAGAAAACTGGAAAACTCTTCCATTTCTTAGTGCATAAACTAATTCTTTCATATTTACTGGTCAAATATAAGTCCAGAAAAAGAATAATTATTTTTTTTAGCTTTCTACAAAAGAAAAAGTCTGTCCTCTTCTGAGAATTTTAAAATATCAGGCTGCAAGAGTAAATTTTTCCTTCTCTCTGGGCCATGGCACCCTGTATCTTGCTGCTCAGTGTAAGTAATTGGATCAAGATTAAAAGATGACAATGTGAGAAAGGTTTACAATGATCATTTATTCTGCACCTCAAGAGCAGGCTGCAAAAATAATTATTCTGGTATCACATAGGCAACGACCATTATGCACAAATGATCCTGTAACTATGCTAAAAAACAAGGCTTAGAAATCACGGTTCTATAAAACCTCTACAAAAACATTAAGTAATGAGCTTAGACTAATAAATATTATTGCTCTGCACTTAGCCAATTTCTGTTGCTGAAGGCTCTTAAAGTTCAGTCTCTTATGATGATGAAACAGCTTGCTACAACACAGGTGACATGAGACCAAACTAGTACAACTTTTAGCAAACTTCAACTTTAACTTTAAGTGGAATAATCCTATAGGAAGAGTAAGGGAGGGGAAGTATAATACATATCTATATAATACATATATACTAAGCCTTCCACTCACTCATTAGATTCATTAACATTCTTAACAGAGAACTTCCATTCAAAGAGTGAGCCATCCATTTGACATCATGACATTTCCCTTAGGAGGGCACAGATTTGTTTTGATAATCCAGTAGAAAAGCCATAAATACCACGATTGAGTCACCCCTCTGGGGGTGAACTACAGACAGGCAGTATTCCCCAGCTCTAAGATCAACTCACAGCCCTTCCCACAACAGTTGAAGCAGACTGCATGAAGTTGCAAATAATTAATAATGCTAAAACTCACACCTTTTCTCTACAACCCTGGAGGCAGAAAAGTAACATAGAGCATATAATCAAATTCTGTAAATTAGGGCAGTTTGAAAGTTTGGAACAAACTATTAATTGGAAAGTTTCTAAATTACATAAAAAGAGACACGGATTTAACATAAAAACATTACACTGTTCATGTGCCCGTGGTCTCATTTACAATCCTGCCCCTGGAAGTATAAATCAACTCATTCTTAAGCCCCTTTCCCTTTACTCAAAGGTTGTCAAAAGTGATGTGGACACACCAGAAAAACAACAAAAAGGGAACCAGATGTATTAACTCTGGATCCATCCTAACACCTATGTACTCCTTAGTTAAGCAGGCAATAAACTTCTGAAGACTATCTATTATCCATCCGTGCTCCCTGATGCATTTACAACAGTACATATGCCACATGCTGCAGGCTCAGGCTTTTGCATCTAACCACAACCAGTTTGTTTTCTCTGAATCTACAGCAATCATATAAGTGGCTATAGCATATATGACTTTCTTTCATGTAACCAGTGAAAGATGAAAGAATGTCTTCTGTTTCTTAGGGTAAAAAAAAAATAAAAAAAATAAAAAAATAAAGAAAAAAAGTAGAGAACAGAGAATAAACCACACCAATTGGAGAAGACAATGAAGACAGCAATGACCATGTAAGATGAGACAGGAAGGAAACAAGAACAGTGGAAAATAAAATCAGAAAGGAAAGGCAGAACAAGCACCACCTCGAGGACACTACATAAGGAAGGAAACTCGCTTCCTAACTGCTGGAGTGATGCTGCACTATAAAAAGAGACAACTGAAACACCAGGCATCAAAGAATATTAAAATCCAACAACAGTACAAGAAAATCACAGAATAGTTTGAATGTGAAGGGACCTTAAAGCTCATATAGTTCCAATACCCCTGCCATGGGCAGCGACACCTTCCACTAGACCAGTTTGCTCAAAGCCCCATCTAGCCTGGTCTAAAATAAGGTAAGAAAGAACAGAGCACTAGAGAAATTAGACTAAACCTAGCAGATTTTACCCATCTCCACATTCTCCGATGCGCCTTGTATCAGTCTGCATCACATGCACGTGCTGTGTTTGTATTTAACACAGATCACAGCAAGCTGTCATACTCCCAGACACATGAATATATTGTGCCACATATCTTATGCAGTAAATGACTGAGAACAGTAAGTGATCTTAGGAGAAATGTGGCAGTATGTGTTTATGTATCACAAAGCAGGAGACAGCCCATAAAGGGCAGGCAAGATACAGAAGACAGTTACTCACAGGAGGTGGCAAAAGGAAGTTAGAGAAAAGGAATACAAGAATGTCATCAGATTATGTTGGATTTATGACACATCCTATACATAGCTCAGTGAGACTTTTTTTATATACTTATTTCTTTGCCTTCTGGCAGAAAAAAAAAAAAAGATTTTTAGCAGAATTAGGAAAAACTTCACTGATGCCAAACAGAAATATTACAAGGCTCCTTAAAAGGATTTTTACTTGCTTTTCATCTGCCCGTGGTCAGCAAACAGCAGTGAAAGAATAAAGACACTACAATTACAAAGGGCACAGCTGCTCCCCTGGGCAACACACTGGTGTCTAGCTCCATTACCGTTGTTTGCAGGAACAAATAGAGGACCAATAGCAGAAGCAAAGATGACAAATCAGTAGAATTATTCCAGCTGTTCAGAATTATTCTAGCACCATTTTCTTACTTGCAATTTACATGCACCTATCTTATGTCATAGGATACACACCAAATTTGTTTGAGATTTGTTCTAAACTCAACACTTCAAAGCTTACATAATTCTAGACATTAAAATAAAGATATTATTTTTATTTTACAGAAAAAAAAACTCCTCTGTAGGAAATAAAAAATCATAATGCAGGGATTTTGACAAAAAAAAATCCTGCTAGGGCATCAGCTTTAGGTTTCAAATTAATTCCTAATTCACCAGTTCCAACTATTACGGTGTGCTCCCAAGTCCACTCCTGATACTAGTAGTTCTGTGTTATCTGAAGAAGGAATTGATCAACAACCTTGCTGATGACACTGATTCATTCCACTGAGTAAGGCAGGATTGATGCTATCAGGGTGGAATTTTTAAGTACTGCACAGGTCAACAACGATTAAAGTTTCACTTGTCTATTGAATAACTGGCATGCACAAGAAAGAGCCATAACACATCAACACTACGCTAGGGACAAAACTCAAGAGAACTCTTCCTGACTGAAGGCTCTTACAATCTTTACAAAAGGAGCTGAAAAGACAAATTAAAAATAGTGTTTCCTATTTTTTAAAAGTGTTAGAAAAAATTGAGCTTCTACAAAGAGAAGTCTAAATGCATTAAGAGCTGCAAAAGAGCAAATCAAGAGAGAAGACAGTATAAATAAAAAGCAGACACACTACACTGGGAAGTTCACTATCAGTCCTAGAGTTGTTGGGAACATTTACTTTTTAGGCAATATTCACCTGGTATTAGTCTGCCAACTAGCTAGCAAAGATGGAAAACTTTTGGTGACCATTCTCAAAAAACAGAAATTTTAAATTCCAAGCAAAGAATGGCAACTGGAACAGGCAAGGCCACAGGGGAAGGAAAGATGGAGCAAGGACTAAGATAAGAGCATCATCCAAAGCCCAGCACACACGGAAATCATGGAATGAAATCAGGTATTCCAAGGGGAAGATGCACTCCAGAAAGATGAAACAAGAAGTTTCATGCCAGAGTTGATCACAACGTGCCTCTGGGAGAAGTGAGCACCAAGTGACTTTTAATACAAGCACTGCAGGAAGAAATAATGGCAGAACTTTTCTCTAAGGACACTTCACAAATCTGATATATTTCACCCAAGTATCATGGGCACTTTGTATAAATTAAAAAAATAAAATAACAAAACCCCTAACGATTCAAAGACATAATTAAAATTGCTACAGAATGGATAAATCTTAGGATATGCAACTTGCAAAATACAAAACTAGATCTCACAGCATGAATTTATAGCCACAAATGACTTTTTAAGCACAAAAGGTAAGTGTGATTGGTGATACAATAATCCAAGGCATGCTTTCCCTACCAACAAGAAGCAATTTCCAGACAAGCTTAGGGATATCTCATTTGCAGTCTCACTGCCTGACCAATTATTGCACAATATTGCTCCTAAAGTAGCACAGACAAAGCAAAAAAGAATAAAAGATCTTGACATTGAAGTTAAAGCCAGGTTAAATACAAGGTAGTGTAACCCAGGAGAGAAGGTAACTCAAGAGGCTACACACAGCAGATCTGTAATACGGGCTTCCAGAGGCAAGTTGTCCTTCAAAGATCCTAACTGCTGAAAGAAAAACACTTAAACAGCAGATATACGCTACAGTAGTTTTACTGTCCTCCTTTGTAATGCTTTCCAGTTCTGTAACCAAATTAACCTTCTGTTTTGATTCCTATTTTCACCTTTTGCTGAAAAAAATTCAATTGCAGTTGGTCAATTTCATCTTCATATCAGGAAGAAAAGCAATGCTGGTAAAAAAAGGCTAGCATCCCAGACTGCCAGCACCCTACAAAGGGTTTAGGAATCCAAGGACTTGGGAAGGAGGAAGCATTTTCTCTGCAAGGGACACAGGGCTATCTGAAGGCTGTTTAACAACTGCTGGGGGTGCAAGTCATTCTGGGCATGCCAGTGGTCTTTGCCAGAAAGACACTAATCTGACAGCAAAAACCACCTTGTATCTCATTTGAAAAGGGCAATCACTCCCTCCCTTGGGTGGATAAGGGCATTATGATACCTTTCTACCTAAACTGCTTTCAAAGATTTGTTTGCAAAGACAACAGGGAGCCAGCTTTCTCTGTGTTTATCTTATCTGAAGAAAGAAAGAATACAAAGTAGATAGATACCAATCCTCACCACTAAAAACAAAAATTAAAATTTCATGAACCATTCTACCTCACCTAGTCAATGCCTCTGTTCATTCAAAAGCAAACTGAAGATGTGAGCAGTACAGGCACATGTGAACTGTGCAGCAGGGAAGAAGTATTTATGATGTACATGTCATAGTGGGAGCTAGAAAATCAGAGTACTATGGCTGTATATCAGTCAGGAGTGAAGTGAATGCTTGCAAGCATGCACACATTCACTCTCTCTGCAAAGGAAGTTATGACCCTCTCCATTCAGCCAAATGCTATGATAGAGAGCGCTCTCAACATCTGCATATCACTTCAAATATTTCATTCCACAATACTTCGTACCCATTCCTGGTATGGTGTCTAGCAAGTCCTTAATGCTTAAGAGCCAAATGGCTGGGTCTCAGAGGACCTTGTGCCGCTCCCTCTTGGAAGAGGCTAATGTGTGCTGACACTGGTGCAGACTACAAGGGCAGAATTCCTTCAGCGTCTTCACCATGTCACTGCTCATTTCATTAAATAAGCTAATGACTGCTTCAGGAGTAGCCTGCAGTAATAAAAGCTCAGAGAAAGTATTTTTTTGCCTCTTAAAAGGATTCTGCTTGTAGGAAGAGCTAAAATTTGGCCTTACCATGCCTGCCACTTTCACCACCATGCCAGCAGCACCTTGCTGAAAACACAAAGGTGCCATGCCAGTTGTTTTTGACAGTAACAGCTTATCACACTAGAGAATTTCCCATTTACCACAAAGCACTTTGGCACTCATAGGCCTGGCTCGTTCTACTCAGAAATTCATCTAAAAAAACAATTCAGAAGGAATCTGCTAACACAAAGTTCAAATTTACAACATTCAAGTCTTTTACAGTTCGGACCCAGTCTGTCTCTCTTTTCACATAAAGGAAGATAAACTGTATATAGAATCATAGAATACTTTGGGTTGTAAGGGACCACCACAGGTCATCTAGTCCAACCCCCCTGCAATCAGCAGTGACACCTTCAATTAGATCAGGTTACCCAGAACCACATCCAACTTGGCTTGAATGTCTTCAGGGATGGAGCATCCACTACCTCTCTGGGCAGCCTGTGCCAGGATTTTACCACCCTCATTGTAAAAAATCTCTTCCACACATGCAGCCTGAATCTCCCCTCTTCTAGTGTAAAACCACCACCCCTCCTCCTGTTCAAAGAAAGGCAAAATAATAGTTACATTTACAGGTGGCAGCATAGAGCAAAAACTAAGATTATTTAGCCTAGACAGGAGGATTAGAAAGGATCAGTTGAGTTCATTCTTTCAACCCTGTCTCAAAACTGAATTTCATGAAGTCCCTAACGGCTAACATTGATGTCAGCTACCAGAAGCCACACCAGAGCATTACGGAGCATTAACGGATTTTTTTTTCCCAAGGGAAAGGTTAATAATATAGCCAGTATTGTAATTCACTCACATCAAGACAAAATCTAACACAGCAGCATATTAGGTAATGCACAGGCACACACCTTCCCAATGTTCAAAAGTATAACAGGAATGAGAGTTGGAAGAAGAGAAGAAGAAAAAGGGAGAGAAATTACATTAGGTCTCCTTCAGCAGTCACAGAAGGCAGAAGGAAGACCAATATCCTGAGCTGCTCAAGCAAGGGGTTAATCGTATTTTGCTACTGGTTTCCACAGAATTTTACAACTGTCTTCAAGCAGGCAGTTACTGACCAATCTATTTCTGTCCAGCATCCCACAACAAACATGCTGGAATTAGTCAGAACTACCCTCATTTTCATCATAAAAGTTAACAACTTCAGGAAGAGTGAAGTATAGCTCTGGTCAAGAGAGGTCTTTATTATTCCAAGTATTTACTGCAGGACAGTCTTCCTGGAAAACTTTCAGCAGCCTGCTGGTTCCTTTTCTTCTCCAAAACAGCAAAGAATGTTTTACTGCATGTAAAAACCCTCCATCATTGCACAACTAGGGATGAAAATTATGGAGAGTTTTAAAAAAGTGACGAGGTGAGCGGAATTAAAGTTCAACTTCCCTATTACTCTGCAAAGGACTTTTAATAACATCCAATAAAAATAAGATTAAGTTTAAAAATAAAAGAGAACTAAGTATAAAATAATAGTGTTCCACTAATTTTACTTTTCAAAATTAATGTTGCTGCACTTTCTATTTTTCTTCGAAGAAATGTCAGGCAGAAATATCAAACTGTCCTCGGGGAAAAATCACAGCATCTGAGATTTAAGAAGAATCCCATGCTCAAATGAGTTAGTGTACTACTATTCACCAGGGAGCAGTGTATTATGAGGAACAATGTAATAAAAGGCTTTTTTTAATATTAGAATATACCTCTATATATCAACAGTGGCAACAGTGTCCGAATAGCTCCAACATCTGACAATTTGTAACCAGCCTTCCCAGCAATCTACTCTTTATGACAGCCTTAACTAGACATTTTCTAACACATAAGGTAGGATAAAATAGCGTTGCAAGCATGAAGAACTTCAGAAATTACTAAAATACTGTATAGCAAGAAATCCTATATTGGTAAAAATTATTAGCAGGCAAAATGGTCCACTGGATGAGGATAATCAGAGAGAAAATATTCCTAGCTGCACCCAAGACTTATTGCATGACCTTGAGCAAGTAACTTAATTTCACTGCCCAAATTTTCCAATATAAAAAGGACAGTAATGCTTGCCAATTATTGCAGACATGAAATCTATGGCAAAATGCATTTCATTAATATCTGAGAACCTACATTTTGTTCTAGAAAAACTGTGCCTTTATAAGTTTGCAGCATTCTTTATAAATTCTTAGTATGGACACTAACTTTAAGACCAAAGGACCCAAGATCATCTCACAAGACACTGCCCCCTAATGTGTGAGGGCCTGCTAAAGTCCCTGCTAAAAACTGAGAAGCGCTCCTTACGGCCCCTACGTAAAAAGCAGATTTCCACAAATTCTTAAGTGTTAGGGGCACAGAAGGAGAGGCAAAAATCTCCTCTCTCAAATTCAATCTGTCTTTCACATCATTTATTTTCATGAATGCAACTAGCACTGGAATAAAACGTCAAAAAAATGTTTGCTAAAGCCGTGAAATTTGCACTGTTTCAGACTCTCACGTTATACAGAGAACTTTAATAAATTAATCAAAGCAAAAGAAAATTTGGCTAGATGAATTAAAATTATACTTCACTCTTTATTGCTCTACACGTGCAAGCACTTCAAATACTGATCAACATGTCTCACCCACAAGATCACCAATCCACCTTTAACATGGCATGCCATGTAAGAGGTTACCCTGATAAATAAGCACTACAAATTTTCATATCAACAAAGCCTGTCATTTCCAAAAGACAATATGTGTTTATTTAAAGCACATGATACAGCAGCAAACAAAACCCTAGCCCTGTGACATGTTTTTTATGGATGAACTACTGCAGGTCATAAAACTTTGGCTTTTGTACTCCATGCATTTAGAGGGGGGCTGAGTCAAGAAGCAAAGAAAAACGGATCAGGCTGCTTCATTACTCATATCTCTTCCAGCGAGAAAAATTACCTTATGCAAATATTCAGTTCCATAAAGCAGTTCTACATTGCTTGATGTTAATTAGAGGAATGACTCTCCTTAAACATAATGCATTTTCAGGTGATGCTTATTCTTACCTGGCAAGTTCTCTAATTAAGTTCGCAATGCGCCTCTTGTCCTCAGGACACAAATCCTTTAAAGAAGCACTCTTCATTCCTCCTTCATTAGTGACCTGAAAATTTAAAGTGACATTTTAGAAAGTATTCTTTAAAAGAGAACAAATATTTCATAAGATATTAAAGCATTTCAAAACCTAGTAACTAGAAGCAGACAAATTCCAACTGGAAATAAACCATGATTTTTTTAAATGTAAGTACAGTTCAGTAAAACAAATAACCAAATTGTGAAGACTTCTTTTAATAAACTTGTAATTCAAATGCAAGCTGCTAACTTTACTATTAAACATTTGGGTAAAGTTTTAAGACATACACTACCCACTGGTTCATACTAGAAAAAGGGCAGTAAGTTCTCATGACTTGGAAATCTAGTGCAGCGATATCCAGATCTGAGTTCACACTTTATTAGGAGCCTAAAAAAATTTAAAAAGTTTTTTTTTTAATTAAAAAAAAAAAATCTGCCTTAGCATTTACAACCAAAACATTAAAAACAGCAAAAAAGATATACAATGTATCATTAGTAGATTGTATAAGTCCTTATTTGGAAAGATTTTTTAATACATGCTTTTTTACATCCTTTTTTTTTTTTAATCACTTATTTGCTACCTTCGTACCCACTACTTCTCAAACAGAACCTTTAACAGATTCCAGTACTTCAGCTCTTTTAATACATTCCTTTATCACACTGGTATTTGCTATCAATGTCCACCAGAGGGCAAACTACTGTTCGTGTTTGCAGCAGCTCCTCGCATTACCGAGGTTACCGACGTTATCTACTTCGCGTTTCCAAACAGAAACAGTTCTAAACTCTAAACTGTTTTTCTTTATCAAACACTTTAGACATCAGTGACACGGTTCTCCAGCGCTAGTGCTAACAAAAATCCCAACGTGAAAGCTGCAGTAAAAACTGCTATTCTGTCCAAAAGTATTTCCACTTAATCTGATTTACTTATTCTCAGTTTAGATTTTTACAAATCTTCAAATAGTACAAACCTTCCCGAAGGCATACTGCACTTAACATGAGATCCAAGAATGCTACCAAATGCCTTGTAGGTTATTGCCCAGGTTATTCACGACTGTGAAACATGCTGCAATTAGGGAAGCATACTGCTCTGGCTGGTATTCTTCGGTGTCTACTCAGTCACCTGGCCCACAATTTCTTTAATAGTCAGTCATCAAAATGCTGATTTATTGGCTCTCAAAGTTGTTGCTCTTGATCTCACAGTTTCAGCATGTCCTACCTTACTTACAGGCAGTATTTGCTGGTTTAGTGTTTATCGGCTGGGGGTCGGACCTGGGCTAAGGATCTTGTTTCACTGTACTTCATAGCAATGACTTGTAATACAATAGACTCACTGATCATGAATCTGGGCTAGTATTTGTTCCCAGTGTGGTCATCACCTCTATACTTTGGGAGGTATATAATGGAAGTGTTTAGCAATTACATATCTTTTCTTCCCTCCTCAAGTGGTCAGCCTATGAAGAAGACATTCCTTCACACCCTCCTCGCGGTGGGGCTGCCAGCATAGCGCTCTGCCTCTGCAGGCATGGACAGGATTCAAACCCGCGATCTTTGCTTTACGAGACAGATGCTTTACCACTTGGCCACCGCGCCTGACCCTGCACAGCTTCCCAGATCAGACGAGATCGGGCGTTTTCAGGGTGGTGTGGCCATAGGCCGAGTACGTGCGCAACTAAGCAAAGCAAAACAGAGATGTCCAGGCTCCAAAAACAAGATCTCACCAATGCGCTGGCCACACGCACTGGGAGTCTTGGGAACCTGGAGATAGGTGCTGCAAAGGTCCATGTGGATTCAGCTCCTTTAAATCCAAGGTGATTACATTCTGCTCATCTTTTACCATCTTTGCAAGTTTTTGAGGCTGGTAACACCCTGCCATTTTCAGTGAGTGGTTTTCAAGCTCTGGCATGATGTTCCCTTCTCTTTACTTCCAAAGACACAGTCCAGTAACTAAGGTATAACACAAACCCACCACTGCTACCACCAATAATAATAATGATATGGGAAATAACAAGAGAAGAGAATAGCTAACACAAGTTAACACAATACACCACTGAACCACCTCTGAGCATACAAAGCAAACACTGGGTTGCTCTCCCCTCATTAGCAGTAATGGCAGCTGATCTACACACATCAGGAAGGAAGTACCCCCTTCCATTCTTTGCTAATTGCTTCCTGAACAATAGTTTGAAATAATGGAAGAACCACATCACTTCTGAAAGAGATTTTGATTTTATACAGATTCATGTTACACCCACCTGACTCTTCAGTACACTCTTATTTTAACTTAAGTGGATTTCCCAAAGGGATGGGGAGTGGTAAAGTAAAAGACTGGATTTTATTAAGTCAAATTATATTTCAGGGCTTTTCTTGAGGACATTTGATTTCACAGTTTCCTTCCAAAACACATGCTATTTACAGTCATACAAATGAAGAGATAATATTTTAAAGTTAACTGAATTCAACTAAACATAAGGTTGAAGAATCTGCATTTCCCATGCTAAAAATATCTGATTTATTTTTATTTTTAGCAGCCTGATAATGGAACTTCTTTAAGAAAAATCAGAAGTAACAGGACATTTTTCACTCACAAAATAGGCACAAGCTTGATCACATTAGTGAAGGAGTTTTAAACAGAAGGTACTCAAAGCTATTACTCAAACCTATGTACATACTGTCAGACAAACATCAGTGGTATGAAAATTAAAATCTAAAAAGGCAGGCTTGTACCATAACACATGTCAAAATGAAGCTGTGGAATTACACACAGCAACAACTCCACCATCAAAATAAGATGAAAAATGATAGAGACCAAGACTATTGTCTCCTTCCGGATTTCTGTCCTTTCTACACAGCTCAGGGTAGAACTTAGTTTCATAAATGGGAGATTCTCTCACTTTATAAACCATGCCTTGGAAGATCACAATTTGCATGAAAGAAGCAGACAACTTCTGTCAAAAGGAAGTAGAAAGATGGGAAATTTTGGTCAAGACCAGTACAGCAAGCCACTAATTCATTAAAATCACCAGAGAAGCTCCATAGCTAACAAGACTTTTTTGAAATCTTCTCCAAAATTCTAATTCACCTTTCTGGTACTCAAGTCCACCTGAATGAAGAAACGGTAAATCAGTTCTGCCAAGATTCATACTAAAGTAAAACTCAATCCATTCTCTTCAAAAGAGGATTCTGGTAAACCATTAACACTGAGCTACCTACCAGTACAACAGTGTAAAGTGTGTTAAAAGTAAAGCAATCAGCTCTCCCTAGACACAAACACACAACACCTTTAAGAGAATTAGTTCTGTGCTAATGAGAACTCCTTGCAAAAAGAATTTTGTGAAACATTCTTCTTCCACAATAGGTAAAATGTACTTGCTTTGTTTGTTTCAAGTAATTCAGAGCTTATCTTCAAAGTCAGAACACAAAGGTTCCTGGAGGATTTGGCAAGATAAACAAAAAAAAAAAAAAAACAACAGAAGGTTAAAAGAAATGGAAAAGAGAAAGCTTCAAACACATTTTATTATCAAAAATATAAAAACATGTTTGAATCTCCAATCAAGATTTCACATATGAGGCATTCTATTAAAAAAAAAAATTAATAAAAAAGAAAGAAAACACAAAGACCATTTCTGTCCTAACAGCTCTCAGAGAAAGGGGAGTAAAATTCTCTAAACAATGCAATCAACACACCATACAACAAAACAGATTTTAACGTGACATATGAAGGCATCTGACTTGTAGATACCTAGTAGGAAGAGATACTTCTACAGAAAGATACTGCATAATGGGGGCTATTTGTGAAATTCCTCTGCATGTTACTTAACAGCCTAATTTGCAAAGTGGGTCTATATACCAGTCTACTAAAAGCAAGTACTGATAAACACAGAAATGAAAACAGGTAAGTCCAAGAATGACCCTAAAAATGAGTAACAGTTATAAGGATGTCATGCTAAAGGATGCGAAGGGCAGTGACACTGTCAAAGCAATGACAGCTGAATGATCTGTCTTCACATCAGAGTTTTGAACGCACATGTAAGGCACATAGCATTTACTCAAGCACACATAGGACACAAACAAGGACATCTTAGCCCAAAAATCAAGATTTAACTGCATGATAATACAACAGTGATTCAGAAGCAGTCAGAAGTTTTACATCCAGCCTGTTAAGTGAAAGCATACCAAACCCTAGTGAGTAACAGACTTGCCCAAGATGACTACAATGCAAGGGAATTAACAGTGCTCAAATGACTTACATAGGCCCTGTACTATACAAATCAGGTTAGAAAAATGGCACCTCTCCACAGATTTATGAGTATCACAATACAGAACAGCCTTCCAAAGGAAACCCACTGCTCTGAAACTTCTAATGCAATAAACAGTAGAAAAAGCATCACCTACTGCAGGAGTATACCAGAAAATTCAAAGCTATTTCTACTACTCAGAGTTATTTTTAAATTTTACTATCAAAAACAGAAAGTGATTTTATACGCCTAACATGAGCAGACACACCAAAATGGTCTCTAAAAGGAATCTTGCAAGTCTTGTTTCTAAGCAATATGATTAGTGCAATGAAACTGAATAGACTGAAACAACCTCGTTTGTTTGGCCAGTAACATATAGATAGATATGGGGCTACTCAAAGCTACACTCTCTGTACATATGCACACATAGAGAGATATATATTATCTGCCTTACATAGCCCCAGTTATGTACCACTTACATAAATTTGCGCATTCAGCTTTTGTTCTCTTTAGGTGGGCAAGCGATTTCAGTGGAAAAGTAATTTTTGCCAGCAAGCCACCATGTAGGTAGGCGAAAAGTGTGAGAGATTCTAAAAATAATAGCACATGAAAACTGTTTTTCAATCTAAAGATTTTCTGCCATTTTTCTACTATGCACACTCTTAAGAGGCAGAAAAATTTGCCTTTACTGACCTGCTGCCCTGTCAGATCTCCTGTGCTTCTAACAGGATCCATGGGAATGGAAGCAGGAGCTGCAGGCACCTTTAGTTCAGTTTCACTTTTCTGATTTTTTGGCAAACACCTTGTTCTTAAATTTCCTTCCGTAGCCGCTCCTGAAGATGAAAGACAAGCAGAACACAGAAATTAGAAAGTCAAAAGGGTCTTGCCTCTAACAACAGGACTTCCACAAAGGCATCTGTGCTTTTAGCAGCATTTTTTCAAAAGAATAAGCATTTCAGGTGTATGTTTGCAATACTCCCCAGCCCTTCACTCCACACAAAATTTCATTAAGATGAATATATGAGCACAGCACTGAAGTGCACTCAGCCACATGAATAGCAAAGTAAATTCTGAAACACACATGTTGTCTCTGACTGACCTTCAGTGCTAAAACCTGTGTTTAAGATGCAAAAGCATAAATTTGAGCTTCTGCTTATAGGCTTTAACATCCCCATGTTCATACACAAGGGAGAATAACATTTCTGAAAGCCTCTTCCATGAAAGTGGAAGAATATCTCCCAGAATGAATTTTCATTTCCATCATTTAGTATCACTGCTTTCTTTACAGGACACAGCATAACGATCTGACATTGCCTGGCTTGAACTATGCTACCTACAAAACACAGGCAGAGATTTTTTTAATAGAACTGTTTGGCCAGTAATTTTGAAGAGTAAACATGCTACTCCAAACCTAGAGCGCTGAATTCCTTAAAATTATAATTGCTAGACATAGTGAGGACACATACACCATTTTACTAATCATCCCACATTATGTTTCAGGACCTGGTATCACTGCAAAAGCTGTGTTTGAAAACAATTAGGAAATTCTTAAAGGGGACTAGTAACACCCATCTTTTCCCCAGAGATGTGCGTAAGCATGCACTCAGTAAATCAAGGTCAAGAGAACGAATTAAAAAAAATAAAATTCTTTCTTTATACAATAAATCTTCATTTTAATTGACCTCTTCAAAAATCTCCAAAAGACCTGAACATCTACAATGCTTCAACATTCTTTAGAGACCACATTAAAAATTCAGCTTACCTTGTAGACTGGATAAAACTATGCTGTACCTGCAATAGAAACAACTCCCCTGAAACTGTTCATCTTATACTGTATGCTTATCTAAGCAGCAGAGTATAAATCTTCTACTGTAGTCCTGTATGTCCCGTTACAAGTTGTGATGACTCTAAGGTACTCTCTGTACTTTAAATACTTAGGTACACAAACCAGGTACCTGAAAAGACTTTGCAAAGTTTAGCATTCACAGGAAAAACCTTTTGTTTATGATTAGCAGGTCATACCTGAAACAGACACCATTGGCTGTTTTCCATCAGAAACTGCATGTGGCTTTGTTAAAGGTAATAAACAAAGACAGCAAGCTTGGCCCATAAAAGGGAACTACAAAAGTAAGTATTTTGTCTTAATTTTAAAAGGCTGTTGATAAGAAAACAAACTGGCAACACACTGGGAGCACCAAAAGCAAACAAAACTTGACAGGAGAAAACAACAGAGATGGCTAAAACAAAAAGCATTATTCTTTCTTCACTGTGCATTAACTTTCAGTCTGTAATCTTAGAGGTCACCTTCACAAAAGATCCCAGGGACCAGGCCCAGTTACAAGTGCAACTAATAAGATAATGAAGTAATACTATTTATTTAAATTAAGCAGGAACTTCTTGATATGTAGGGAAGACAAATTCTGAAATAGTGTATATTCATACTGCAATGAAATACACTTTGTACTATATATACTAAGAAACATAAACAAGGAAAAATACAAAAGGTTTCAAAGGAAGTTGGTCATTCTCATCTGACCATCACATGGTGAGTAACAGATGAAAGCTTTAGGACTGTTTGTCTTTATGAAGTTTCAGGAACTTTCAAATAACCCAGAGCTTTAACTGTTACATTACTTGACTGCAGAAAGCACTAAAAAAAAAAATAATAAATAAATCACAAAGGACTGGGCACCATATTATTTGTGCTGTTAACAGTTACTGAACTTGAATCCTCGCCTCCTAGAAGTCACTAAAAGTAGGACTTGACACAATTCAGGGAAGAGTGTAAACTACAGCATTTTCCTTCAAGCAACAGTTTCATTTAGCTGAACATAAAGATTTTTATTCCCACATAAGTAATTAACATTATACTAAAGTGGAAAACAAAAAGACAGGGCACAAAATATCTTTAAACCCCTTCACTTTCCTCAACCTGCTAAGATTGGCAAGTTAACTCAATTACCTGATTCCAGTACATTTACCCTTAAATGTATTTAAGTTGCAGCTGTCTTCATACAAGAAAGTCAAATTGTGGAAATATTTTAATTAACCTAAACAAATTATAACCATAACTAAAATTTGATTTTGATAGTACAATTTCAAAAACTTGATTTAATAAATTACCGCATGGTGCAGAAAATTAGCAACAGCCTAGATATTTCCTTCTGTGGACAGCAACTTCGAAATCAATAGCCACTGTCTTGGCACTGATCACAGGCTCCCTTGTGATCTTGTTGATCCACTTTATCACTTGTAAACAATTATCACTCATCAGTCTCACACCAGTTTGAGAATATGTTCACTTAGTACCACTGGCAGTCATCTCTCTCTCTCTCTACAAATGCTGAAAGCACTTTTGTTTTTATCATGCGATGAACCAGGTGAAGAGCTAAATAAATTTTGAAAGTAAAGCACTACTTTCCCTCTTTCCAAAAATACCAAGGTAAATCAAAAGTCCAAGTCTGGATCACAGCCCAGTCCAAACAGCTGTTAAGAGCACAACTGCAACAGCAATCTCCAGGACACTGAGGAGACTATCTTCAACTCATCCTACAGATAACAAACTTCAGCACACGCGATTGCATTGTCAACTGACGTACGGTTAACCTGTGTGCCAACACAATGTTATGTAGGAAATAAAACAGATTTGCCTAAATAACTGTATTAAGTTTGCATGCCAATGTTTTGATAGCAGGGGAGCCATAGGGGTGGTTTCTGTGAGAAGCTGCTAGAAGCTTCCCTTTTGTCCAGTGGAACCAAGGTCAGCCAGCTCCAAGACAGACACAATACTGGCTAAAGCCAAGCCTATCAGCAATGGTGGTGGCACCTCTGGATAACATGGTCTAAGACAGCTAAAAAGTTGCTGTGCAACAGCAACTGCAGCTGAACAGAGTGAGAATATGTGAGAGCAACATCCCTTCATACACCAAGATCAGTGATGAAGGAACAGAAGAGAGGCTCCAGGCACTGGAGCAGAGATTCCTCTGCAGCCTGTGATGCAGACCAGGGTGAGGCAGGCTGTGCCTCTGCAGCCCATGGAGGTCCATGGTAGAGCAGATATGTACCTGCAGCTCATGGAGGAGCCTACACTGGAGCAGGGGGATGCCTGAAGGAGGCTGTGACCCCATGGGAAGCCCATACTTCCCCCAGGAACAGGCTCCTGGCAGGATCTGTGGCTCATGGAGAGAGGAGCCCATACTGGAGCGGGTTTGCTGAAGGAGCTGTGACCCCACAGAAGGGACCCACGCTGGAGCAGCCTGTTCCTGAAGGATGCACCCTGTGGAAGGGACCCACACTGGAGCAGTCTGTTCCGGAAGGATGTACCCCATGGAAGGCACCCAAGCTGGAGCAGTCTGTTCCTGAAGGACTGCACCCATGGAAGGGAGCAGTTCATGAAAAACTGCAGTCTGTGAGAAGAACTCACACTGGAGAAGTTCATGGAGGACTGTCTCCCATGGGAGTGACCCCACACTGAAGCAGGGGAAGTGTTAGGAGTTCTCTCCTGAGAAGGAAGGAGCAGCAGAAACATGTGATGAACTGAGCGGGACACACATTCCTCATCCCCCTGTGCCACACTGGTGGAGGAGGTAGAGAAATCTGGAGTAAAGTTAAGCCTGGGAAGAAGGGGTGGGTGAGGGGAAGTTTTTTTTAAGGTTTGAGTTTACTTCTCATTTTCCTATTCTGACTCAGTTGGTAATAAATTAAACTGAATTCCCCGAGTTGAATCTGTTTTGCCTGTGATGGTAACTGGTGAGTGATCTCTCCCTGTCCTTATATTGATTTATAAGCCTGCCAGTTCCACCCATTAGACTCCTCTAGACTGGAAAAGACCTTTAAGATCATCAAGTCCAACCATTAGCCTGGCCAATGGCTGGACTACCACCCTAATGTCTTCAAGTAGCTGAGCCTCTAACTCAGCCACATGATCCTAAACATCAATGCCAACTCCTCCTGGTTCTCTGAACAATGCAAACACATCTCTATAGCAAGGCTTTTACAGGCTGAATCCCCACCACCACCAAACCACCACCTACTCAATTTACGTGTCCAGCCCCACATCGTGTCTCACAACTGGAGCTTGCACATCTGCAGACGAAGCCACCGCAACTTCTCACTTGCCCCTCACAGACAGAATCACAGATTCATAAAATAGTTTGGGTTAGAAGGGACCTTCACAGAGCACCTAGCCCAGCCACGCTGTAATGAGCAGGGACATCTTCAACTAGATGAGACAGAACTCCCCAGCCTTCATGTTCCCCCCAGAGTCACCCTAAATCATAGAATCACAGAATAGTTAGGGTTGGAAAGGACCTTAAGATCATCCAGTTCCAACCCCCTGCCATGGACATGGACACCTACGACTAAACCATGTAACTCAAGGCTCTGTCCAATCTGGCCTTGAACACCGCCAGGGATGGAGCATTCGTGACTTCCTTGGGCAACTCATTCCACTGCCTCACCACCCTCACAGTAAAGAACTTCTTCCTTATACCCAATGTCATGCTTTCAGTCAACTTTTGACACCCGTCACAAAAGACAAATTTTTTTCTTGCTGCCTGTTCAGTCTCCAGCCTCAGTTTCTCTCAACTCCCTTGCAAGTTTCCATAAGCTGAACCCAGTTTCCTCATTTCCTACGTATGTACCTCCCCCAGGACCTTACAGCTAGGCCACAGAGGCAGTGGACACGCAATCTTCCCTGCTCTTGGAGGCCACTTTTGCTTTCAAATCCTACGTAACCCTCCCTTCACACAGGTTCACACCCAGCCCCTCTCCACGGGCCGACCTCCCCACGCTCACAGGCGGGTCCCCCAGACGCCCTGTACCACAGCCACCATACCCTAGCCGCCCCACAGTCACAGCCCTTCCCACACCAAAGCCCCAACGCAGACACCCCCATCGCCTGCCCCACACAGCTTACAGGGCTCCCCACAACCACAGTCCTTCCCGCTCCCCTCCACGCAGCCCCCGCCCCCAGCCAGCCTCCCAGCAAGTCACAGCCCCGTCGCGCCCTCCCCGGCCCGCAGAAGGATACTGCCCTGACTCCAGTAAACAGCACCGCCGAGCCCACCGCCCGCCTCCGCCATCTTGAAACAACCGCCACTCCCAGAGTGCCCCCCGTCACCCCCCCATTGGCTGCCCGTGCCGGTGTAGCGGAGCATGCCGGGAGTTGTAGTCCTAGTGGCAGGTTTGGTCTGCCATTAGGGCGGGCGAGCTTCAGCTGACAGGACTACAGCTTCCGGTGCACCGCGCAGCGCCGCCGTGGCTAAGGGGTGCGAGGAAGGACAAAAAGGTTCCTGGTCGCACACGCCCCCATCGGTGTCCGCTGTGTGCCGGGCTGCTGGCGGTGAAGGCAGCCAGGTCCATCCGGGAGGATGGAGGAGAAGCCGTCCGCCAGCGTTAAGCCCTACCTGGACAAGCTCACCCTGGGGGTCACACGGATACTAGGTGAGTGGCGGCGGGCGGGAGCGGCCTGAGGTAGGCCAGGGGCGGGCGGGGCGGGGTGTGGTGTGGTGTGGTGGTCACTTGGTTGCCACAGAAACCGCCCGCGGGCGGGAAGGGCGCCTCCCTCAGCGCCGCCCCGCCATGGGCCCGCGGTCCACGCCCCGTCCCGGGCCGTGTGTGCCCGAGCCCCGAGAACCGCGGGGTGTGAGCGCTGGGCGGCTGTTGGTGGGACCCCGGGCACAGGGATGGCTGGGGCCCTCCTCTGGGACCACATGCACACGCATCCTTCCTGTTTCTATTATTTGAATCAGCAGCAGAAGTCCTGGTACTTAAAGAGAGCCCCGCAGTGTCAGAGAAAGCACAGAAAGTGGTGTTTTGTTCAAAATCATGCATAATTCTTAGTTTCTGTTGCAGTGTGTGGTGAGCAGGTAGCGCGCCGAATGGAAGGGAGTTCAGCCTAGTGCACAGCTCTGGTAGGTTAATCTGTGGATCTGCTCAGGACCAACTCCCCATAAATAGTCACTCTGTAGCTATTCCCGTACCATGGCACTTTCTCCAGAGCATGCCCTGCTTGCTGTCTCCGGGTTTTGCTCAGATCTCGAGGCTTCTTGCATCCCTGCGGTTCGCTTTGAAGTTCAGCTGGACTACAAGGCGTTCAACACCTAACGGAAAGCTGCTCAGGCAAAACTTTGCTCGTGGCAGTAGAATCACAAGAGCTGGTGAAAGGATTTGCATGTGTAAAGGATTTTAGCATCAGACCTTTCATCTATCAGCAGCTCGAGGCACAGAGCTGTCATGTTTGTATGGCTGGAAAGCTATACATCTCTGCCAATCCTAGTGTTGTAGGGTATGACAGCATTACAGATTGCAGTTCCAGAACTTCTTCCTATGAATTTTAAAGCCAGAAGTGACTGCTGTAATGCCCTCACCCATCTGCTGTATTGCAGGACAGTGAGTTTCATTTGGTAACCGAAGAGTATTGCTATTTGCATATAGATAGCTGCTAAAACAGACAAGATTAAAAGATTAAAGGAAAATTCTTCCTGTGGGCTTCAATGAGAACAGGATTTCATCCTCAGTATCTGTTAAGCGTTCTCTTACTGACTTACTATTGGACATCTTGGGGGTCCTTGTTTGTTTTTTCTTGTTTTCCAATTGGGAGCTCACAGTGTCAATCTACTCTGTGTGAGCATTAAAAAGGTGAAACTACTTCTGATGAGCCATCATAGCACATTTTTCTTTGAAGTATCTCTTTTTGAAAACTTACTAGCCCTGCCCACATTTTCACCACCCAGGCTCAGAAGTATGCAGTCTACGTGATGTTATCTATGTTCAAATGTAATGTCGCCATATAAACTGTTTTGGGTAGGTGTGTTATTTACACCAGCAAGGCTTGGCAGTGCCAGCTGGACTCTGAAACTCCTGTAACATTCCTTTCACATGGAAGGTGTTTCCTGGTTTGTGTTTGTTTTTTCTTCGACTTTCTGTCTATATCTCTGATTGCTTGTATTGTGCAATATAGCAATGCACACCCCAGTCCGTTGCAGTGATGTTTTACTCTGCTTCTTTTCTCTGTCTGTTCACTCCCTCAGGGAATTTTGCACATTTTTTCCCAGTGAAGTAGTCCAAAGCATGTAAATTGTACCACCCTATTAATTAGAATTACTGAGCTAATTGGGAAGCATTACCCATCTGTTCAGTGTTTGCTTCTTTCAAATTACAAAGGGTGTTTCATTCAGAAAGATGCCTTACTTGGTAGTTTGTGGCACTAGAAACTATCTTATTTTAAATCTTCTTTTGGGAACTCTCATGAAGCCAGTAGATACTTTTCTACCTGATACAGCATAAAAGCAGTAATAAGCTTTTAACTCTGTTGTGGAACTTTTTTATCAGGAAATAGAATTAAGTATGTAATGAAACTCAATATACTCCTCTTAAGCAAGAAAATTTTGCATGTGTGGTATATGGGAGCTTGAAGCCCCATTTTCCAGTACCTTTATAAACAAATGTTCATGGCACCATTTCAAAAACCCTCCTTTAAGCAAATTCCATATATGAGGTTGTGGGGGAAGGAGGTTGTTTTGTTCTTTTTAACTTCTAGTCCCTGTGAAAGGCCCTACAAAGTGACTGTTTTCTCACAAGCATTATGGAGGTTCTAATTTGAGGAGAAAAGAGAGGCATCTTTCCTGTTGCCAGTAGGATTAATGTTCCTGATGTTCTGTGAGTAACAGCAAACTTCAGAAACATTGATTGCTCACAACTAAATCTGAACAGTAGGTCTTAGCTGTTCTGGGCTGCCCAGAGCAGGACCATGCTTCACTATTTAAAGTCTTTATTAAATAAAAATGCAACTATTTACACATTTTTTAAAAGATGCTGAGAGTTTATCCAACTTACAGACAGTATTAGCAGTACTGTTAAGGACTAATAATACTATGATGATTTGCCCTTCAGCTTTGTGTCATACCATTACATCAACTCTTTGTAATTAGCACTGCAGAGCATTTTTGAGAGCTTCCATAGGAAATGTCCTAAAAGTAGCACAGAGTTTACTGTGATCTTGATTCAGGATAGTTACAGGGAGGAGTCACCTGAACTACTTAAGCTTCATCCTTTTGTCTAACCTAAGTGACTTCTTTATTTCTTCCGTCTGAAAGAAAAAGAAGCTCATGGCAGGCTTATTTTCCTCATTATTAATGTTTAACGGAGCTCTCATCCATACCTACACATATCTGTTAAACATGGTCATCAGTTTACCCACAGGATGGATATTTTTAATATAACATTCAGGCTTTTAAGACTGAATTTATCTTTCTTTTGATCTTGGATTTGGATCAGGCCTCTTCAGAAGTCACAGTTTTCGCATTCCTAGACATCTTCTTTGACTGATATGATACATAATTTTCCATCATCCCAGCCAAGCTGTTGTGCATGATGAATTAAACATCCTTACTGTTTTCTTTGATCACAGAAATAACAATTGCTCTATTACAGTAATTAGCTTGCATACCTTAAATGGGAGAGACCAGTTAGGGTTCTTCAGAAGCAGAATACTTCTTTAGAAGCAGAATACACATGGGTGGCTTATACTTGAGCAAGAGACAGATTCCCCCGCATTGCACCCACCTATTGGAAGTCACACTTGGCCAAACATCAGAATCTTCTGTATGTTGAGACAACCCTTGGACAGACAGATTACCTAGGTGACTCACTGTGATTTTTCTTCTTTTTCTTTTTTTTCTGTCTTCAACTTGGAGTTTGTTTTCTAGTACCATGTTTTGTCTTCTAAATTGTCTGACAACATACCCATCAATACTTCCAATTAAGTGAAGTTTAGATTTCCTGAAAAGTGCTGCTCCTCCACCAACAGAACAGACAACACAGAAGGACAACACTACTGCTAGAATTAAAAGCCCAGCACTAGAGATAAAAAACAAACCAAAGCTCTCTAGTGCCTGCCTTTCCTGTCTAGTGCGCTGTGTATGTTTTACCAGAAAGCAATTATAATACATGTGACTGCTTTGGGAAGCTAATACTTTCACAGCAGAGCTGGTCTTGAAAGCCCTGCATAGGGATCACTTCTGTTTCACGGCGGCCCTGTGTGCTGGGCTTGCACTTCCCACAACAAGAAGTTAGTAGTCTTTCTGGACCTGATCCAAAGTGAATAAAGTCAGTGGGAACTCTGTCAGTTGGCTGTAGATGAAGTAAAACATCATAAAATAATAAGTGCAAGGGAGACTGTACTGCCACACACACACGCAAGGCTAGCACCATGTAGGTTAGTATCTACATTTACATATCATTCTTTCCCATAAAATATTCAGATGACTTTTATAAATTGAGCTTGGTGCTTGTAACAAATTCACGCATGTCCAGCTGGGATCTGCGTAAGCTGATGTTTGCTCATGCAGATCCCCTCAGCAGGATCAGACTCTGCATCTGTTCAAGCCCACTGAATCCAGTGCTGAAGCGCGCCATCTTTGTGGAATACGGTTGTTAGCAATTCACAGCAACGCTTCTACATCTTGTGTGAAACTAAGAATATCGGACCCAACTGAAACTGCAGGGCACGCTTACAAAGAAAGAGTTGCAGTTTGCTAGGAGCCCATGGTTTATTTTCCCATGAACCCTCTGCAAAAGATTACGCCTTGAATATGAACTATGTGTATGTGTGTGTATATATATGTCTATAAAAAACATCAAAGGATGACACCTTGTGCAGCCCTAGGCATCCTTATGCCAAGACTTGCCAAGTACAGTTACAGACAAAAGAAAGTGACTGCTCAGTCACTAGCACAATGCTTGCAGTCATTAATGCCTTTTCCTCAGCTGTCAGTCACAATAACTTGCGAAATTGTCTGGCTCACAGTGCCAGCTGCAAACATGCTCTTCTTTTCCTTTTAGAGACTTCTCCAGGAGTTGCTGAGGTGAAGTTTGTGGAAAAGGAGCCAGCTGAACGCCACACAATCATTTCATGGGAGCAAGTGAGTATTTTTGTGGTAATATTGCCGTGAGGTCTGTCTGAATGTACAGCAGCCCATGGAGAATATCAAATGCAATGGCTGCCCTTTCTTTTATTGTGATACAGCCTGCTACCAAATTTGAGGAACAGAGGAACCTAAAGAGATATTGTTTGTTTGTTTTCATGAGGTATTACCAATAGTCTTTTAGGCTATTGCATATGCAGAATCTGTTAGAAAAACTTCTGCAGTGTGGG